GGCTATGCTCCATCTTAAAGCTGGAATTTGTCGAAATAATGCCGGTTGTGTGTTTATTGTGACCAGGGTTTCATATTTTCATCACCAAAACAATGGGAACATCGCTCAACTTCCCAGCTGTCTCTTATACACATCTAGATGTGTATAAGAGACAGATGTATGATGGTCGTAGGAGAAACATAATATGAGCTATGTATGCTGGTCGTAGGAGAAACCTAATATGAGCTATGTATGATGGTCGTAGGAGAAACCTAATATGAGCTATGTTTGATGGTCGTAGGAGAAACAGAAACTGAATAAATTCGAACGCAATTGCGCCCGGAAGCGAACGCTACAATACGGGCGCGCGCGCCTGCAAAATAAATAATTGAAAACAGTAGCTCTATGAATTGCTTTTAGTGGAATTATATTCTCTTCTATTATGTTATTAATATACAGTTATGTACAACAAAATGATTGAATATTTTAGAATAAGCGGGAATTTTCAGCATATCAATGAGAAAAAAAATTTCAAAGGAGAGAGAAATTCGCTATCTATTTATAAAAATATGAATCATTCAGATTTACTATCTATCAAGACAACAATTGTAGCTAAAGACGTTCCACTCACAAAAGGCAACAATTCATTAATATAAATGCAATAAATCCCACAAAGCCTAATAAAGTCCTCGAGTCGACAGGACATCATGCGTCCCTGAATGCATCGCCCGAATTCAACGCATTAACTCGACGCGATTTGCACGCAAGAGCAAAGGCCGTCCGACAGCAGAGATGGGGCCTGTGCCGATGCAGGCTGCCTTATAAGTCACTGGATTTTTGGCTATAAATGCCCGTACAGTCATAAAATACGGTCGCTCTTGTGAACAGAAACTTATCGCCTCAAATCTTCTTACTGCATTGAATGCTTGCAGCGTTATTGCTGAGTTTGACTGCAGCCAGAGCCCGAGTTCGCACACAGGCTTTCCCGTGTAATATCCGAGACCATTAAAGCGAGCTGGAACATATGGCGTTGCGAGTGGAACTCGTACACAAGATAGAAAATATTTCTGACAATGAATCTACTCAATTGAACTATTTCCGCTCGGACAAAAGTAATAAGTGGATTCAAATAAGTGGATTCAATTTCCCTGTTGTGACTGACTTTTTCATGCGAATTTGAGCGGATGGACTCGAACCTGTCTACAAATTTGGGATCATTAATCTCAAGGAAGAACTTGCTCAGTGGAAATATTCCATACCATATATTTGAGGCCAAATTTAAAATATCAAACATTTCAATTAGAAACGGAGTCCGCACAGTGCTATGTAGCCGTTTTTGCAGGCCATTCAAAAGCAATTCAAACCCATTGAAATCATTAATGTTTCGGAATGGCAGTCGCAGCCACGCTAGAGCGCAGTCTGGAAATGCTGCTGTATTTCAAATGCGCGACATCGGATCTGAAGACAAGGGCCATACTTCCAAAACTCGTTAAGTGAACGTAAGTACTTACGCTATATTTTCTTGTCTATGATTGATGGATTTGTCTTGACAGGCCGTCAATGATTGGCTGATGAACATACGATCTCATAACTTTTTTGAAAGTATAGGCCCAGGTCGTAACATACTCGGCAATCAAGACTTATTCTAAGAGGATTTTTATTTCAATGCATGAGGTCCATATCGCTTGGTTGCAGGCGCCTCATATAATAACAGGCGCTTTAGCAACGTTAAAAATTTTTTTAATTAACCTGAAGGCTCATGTTTGTGACCTTTAATTGTTATGGACGTTGCTTAAGGTTGGGCATCAAGTAAACTAAGTTATCTTTAAGCTGAAAAGAGGAATGTATAAGAGCAGAGTTTGTTTTACATATCCGGTTCCTTGAGCGAAGGATCTTAATCGTTGAGAAAAATCCAGGAGGATTTTAGGAAAAGTAGCAAAATAACAACTATTAAAGCAGCAGACATAACCTTACTTGAATATTTTAAAGTACAGCTTCCCATATGATTCATATAGTGATCGAAAAATGACTGGAAACGTCAACAAATATTTTAATAAATTCTGAATCACTTGCCAGATATGAATCAGTCAAACAATCAGCTATCTGTCGCTGTAGCAAATGGCAAATATGAAAACGTTACTGCAAACGCACAGAAATTTAATTGAAGGGCAAAATGGAATTCTCTAGTATTTGCTACGTAGAGTCATGGTCCGTGTTCAGGATTAATAAGTGCGGCGAATCTGGCGAAGCAATTCAGACGCGGGATTGTCCGTAAACGTAATTTCAAAAGACGATTTATGCATCAGTTGTCTGGCTGGAGGATGCATGGATACGAGCATCGGTTCATTTCGCGGTTCTTTAAATTCCGATTTGATGAAGCAGCGGAGGCAATACAAGAGAATATGTTTTGAAAATACAGACCAGAGGTCGGGATGCAACGAGTTTACAAAATTTTGCAGTTCGCGTACAGTTTATGCGAGTTCTAAACATTATGAGTTAAAAAAATGCCATATCTTCCGGGCAAATGTTATTCATACAAGATGAAAGACCGAAGCTTGCACTAGAATAATTTTATGCATCTCGCTCATGAGAAATGTTCAGGATTCCGCTAAAAAAAGAAGCGAGCCGTTTTTCGGAAGGCCGTAACATCGATCTTCTTTCTTGAAAAGATTGAAGAAGAAACTTTTCCGAATATCAAGGAGAAACTTTTCCCAATAAATTACTTTTATGGAACCAAATGCAGCGAAATGACAACCATATTGCGCAATAAAATACGACAATGAGCGATAACAACGGCCGCGTAACGATCCCAACCTCCGCAATGGCCATTCCATCAGCGAGTGAAACTGCGTCCTGCTACGGCGCCTTCAGTCGAGGCAGAGCGCGACAAAACCTCGAGGCATTGCGAACTTTGGGATATCGGGCAGCATTAAGCGCCCGATTTCCACAGTAGCTGTAGGAGCTTATCCAATAAAAAACCCAGAGCACCTTGGATGGTACATGAATTTACGTATCAGCCGGCAGCAAACAACATGATGCAAATTTTTTTGCTAGTCGAACTTCCGTCGCAGCGAAGAGGTGTTCGATATAAGCAAGACTACGCCGCGGAGTATATACATTTCTAACACAGAAAAAAAGATAAATTGCAAACCAAGAAGGTTCAGCAACGAAGTTGAAAAGCCTGAATCAGAACCGATTTCAATTGCAAGACAAATCATCAAGCAAGTGAAACGATTATTTTGAGCAAATGAACCATTTTTAATTCAGTATATTAGTAACAGATTTGCTTTTCCAGCAATGATGATATTTAATAAGATTTGAAATGTAACTAATTTACCTTGCAAAAAATATAGAAGAGAAAGAAATTAATATTGTTTACGGTTTAATGTTACGTCTTTTCGATTCTATTCGTCTTTAAAGTAAAATAATCCAGAGGAAACGCTTGCATGAAATGGAAAAACATTGTCAACGGATAATGGAAGAGTATCTTTATTAATTATTATTCAGAAATTACTTTCTGGCTGATTATTATACTTCAACTTCCGCTATCTATTGAATTAGCATAAATATGAACACGCGTAAAAAATATAAAGGAAATGATTGATAAATCGGCAAAGACTGTCTGTGTATAATAAATAAATGAATTAATTTATATGAATTGGCTGACTGGACAGCTCGCAATGCTGACTTCGACAGTCGGTCCGTCGCAAATCTAGGACCTGGCTGATTGAACGATATCACAAAAAGCTCATGAAACCCTATATACTAAAACCTTAAGGGAGATATTTCACTTCAAGTTTTATTTTGCACGCGAGACATTTCTTGAAACGTGGACTGCAAGCAGAGATATTTAAGTAGTTTTGTCAGCTGCTATGCCAGGAAATTGAGAAGAGATCAGATAATTGAGTTGCCAGGCTGCCGGAATAAAGCAATTTCTTCGACCACGATTCTCAAATTTTATTGGACCAGAAATGACTAACCAACAGAGCAATCATTCTTCAACAAAATTGTATACTTCAAGACTAATGTTATATAAACTATACTATAATTATGAAACTAAGTATCACGAGCAAACATCGAAGCTTTTAACATGGTGCAAATCCTAAAATCATCTCCGGCTCAGAGACGAGTGATTAGGGCCACCGAAACTACGGCGATAATTTCTCGTAGGGTCTGTGACTGCCACGTGCCCAAAACAATAAAGCGTAGCGAGAATTCAAGGCATTTGGAATTTAAAGCTTTTGGGGTTACAAGACCGTCTGGCGGCGACACCGTCTGGCGGCGGTGTCGCGATATTAAGCATAAAAGCGTTATAGCTTCGGTAAGATAAAATTATATACGATAGGGTTTTAATTCTGCATTCAGCTGCGTGGGAACTTTCCTGACTAATATTATTCTTCAAATTAATTTCAATTTAAAATCTAAAACTCGTGTCAGCTGTCGCAGGAATGGTGGAGCAGCAGACTTTCTCAAACTCTGACATTACGTCCCAGAACACCAGAATGTCTGCAATACTTCAATAGAGCAGGTGATCTCACCGTGTTAGAACGTTACCAACCCTGCCGACGAATTACGGTGTCGGTCCCGTAATTCGTCGAATTTACATCCTGTCGACGAATTATATAGTAGCTACCGTCGCCAGCAGGGGCGTGCACCTTATCTTTCTTGACATCGGCGCCAGACCCAACACCTTTGAGCTGCTATATGTGCCAGGGTCTCCAGCGCCTCGTTTACGGGCGTTGCAGTCACCATCTATCGTCAGCTGGATCGGTTATGGTGGAGCGCAATTTTTTCGTTGACTTGACTCATGTTTTTACCATACTTGTGACTTTCCCCAATAACGTCCTCATCACCGGCGATTTAAACGTCTGACTGGATAACATCGACGACCCATCGGCTGGTCAGCTGAACGACCTTCTGGCCGCCTTTAGCAAGGTTTGTCAAGTGACCTTACCGACGCACGACATGGACGGACTGCTGGACGTTGGCATCACGCGTGCTGACCTTCAAAGTCTGTCAGTCGACATCATCGAGATCGCAATATCCGACCAATGCGACCATTGACTACTTCAGTGGACGGTGCCATGTGTGTGTCCAGTGTCAGCGTACAAAACCGTTTCCTGTCGTCCGTGGCGCGGTCTCGACGGCGATGTCTCGTGCGAAAAATTACTGTCGTCCCGACTATGCCGGCCTGACGTATAGTTGGCACTTCAGTTAACGACCTCGTGCAACTCTACAACACCGAGCTGATCTGCGCACTCGATGACCTCATTCCTGCACGCACAGTTCGGGTACCCCAACGAATCTCCGACCCATGGTTCGATGATGAATATCGGGTCTCGAAGCGGGGGTTCGACTGCTCCAACGGGCTGTCAGCCGGGCAAACAGACGCGGCTATCCTGCTGCTGCTGCCGCTGCTGTGGCCTCCACCTGGCGAGATGCGCGACCCAATCATGCATGTCTCCCTTCTTCGTTCTAAAAGAGAGTCATTTTATCGCCAGAGAGTCGACGCGCAGCGCAGCGATCCTCGAGCGCTATGGCGTTCACTGGCTAAACTCATGGCAAGAGGTCATACAGATGCTTCAGGTGATGTAAGCGTGGAGGAATTCCATGCGCTTTTTGAAAATAAAATCTATGCTGTGCGAGCGTCGTCACGGACGTCTGCTGGCATCACGGACTTCAAGTCCGTGGCTGAAACTTTATTGGTTCAAATGATTACTGACGAGCAATAAGTTAGTTACAAAATAGTAATTATGAATGAAAATCCAATGAATTATCATGAAAAAATAACTATCTAATGATATGACAATTGTAATGATTTTCTGCGAAAATAATTTGCGGTTGAGATCAATGATTCATCACACTTTCGTCAAATTAGCTAGAAACTTTTGATGCATGCACAAAAATTCAGTTCATTACCACAGGATTTTACATAAAAATCTACTGAATTACTGATAAAATTTCCACCAACATTTATTAAATTACTTTCGAAATTTTCGTCTGAATCTCGCTGGCATTCAGATTCATGTAAATCCTACCTTTTCTTGCTACGAGAATCAATTAGAATCTCATTAAATGACGTCGGAACAAAGTAGGTCCGGCGGTAGTGCTTGCCGATCAGATAATTCCACTTCAAAGCTGCAAATTAAGACACGACGCGGTCAGCAATTTACTTGCCATTTGATCGCATTAAAGCTCCAAATGAAATAACTTGGAAATAAAAGAATATTCAGCGCTGGGCGCAGTGAGTGATCTATGGCAGCGAGGACTGAAGGCGCAGGCCTGAGAATGGCAAGATGGCGCCTGGAAAATTTCCGAACTTTTGAAATCGAAATTACTCGATAAAATTTAGCAACATCGGATAAAGCTGGTTTGTAAATAGAAACATTAGAGTGAAAATTAAAATGAGGGCCGAAAATTTTTCTCTCAATTATTATTTTCAGAAGAAGAACATCAGTTAGATTACCGCTATAAAAAATAAGCAAAATCTCAAATCTCAGAAGTTAGAAAATTTCCATCAGAGATGCATGACTTGCGACAGAAGTTCATCAAAGGCACCCATGCAAGGCCTCGGGGCAATGAATTTAAATTTAAACATGAAAGGAACTGAAGTTTTAAGTGGCATTTCAGTGAATTGAAATATATTAGGCTTCGGAACAATGGTGAAGCTGTGAAGTGGCGCGCTCCCTCGCTTAGTCAAAAAAAAGTTCTGAACAGCTATAGGGAAAAAAACGGTAATTTCTCCCTACACCTCCGAGTTGCAATGGATCAAGACTGTTGAACGCAATTTTCCAGTTTACTTCTCAACTGACCTACATAAACCAGTACGCATCCGTTCCCAGTTAAAATTCAAAGCCGTGGCGCGGTTGTTTATCGGCGTGGAGGGCGATTATGAGCGCGGAACGGCAGATTGGCCGCTTCTCCCAAATCTCGGCGATATAGCGCTCGTCGGCGGGAGGCAATGGACGGGCCGGTTAGCGACCATCGGCGATAATTTGCGCGAGACTTTACGGTTGTTTACAAACGAGGGGCCGCCTGCTACTTACGACCATGTTTCGGCTGCTATATATATATATATAATCGATTCCTCAATCGAACACGTGCGTGCGCAAGTTGGTGTTCGGACCTTAACTTAAACTTTGACATCCACTCCTGTTGAACAAAAGACCTTTGATGATATCGTATACCGATGTTTACACAGAGACATTGCATTTTTAGACATCTCAGAACCCTGTCACTTTCTTGTTAAATGGAATACTTCTATCTGACAAAAAGAATGTGAGCGCAGTTCATAATCAATTTAAATGATTTGAATGCTTACAGTTTGACTAAAAGCTCGTTCTGCGTTGATGTATGTAAGTACATGCGTACGTTTGTCAAGGCATATGATCTGTCTCTTATACACATCTAGATNCTTTATTATTCTGCCCTTTGTCTGTAAATTTAGGTTTTTAACTTCTGTTTGTGTTACCTGTCTCTTATACACATCTAGATGTGTATAAGAGACAGGTTCTAGATTTATCGAACTGACGATGGAGCTGGTCTCCGAAACGTTTTCAAAAGAGATATGCTAAATTTTTGTGGTGTTTTCTTCGCTTTTAAATTTCTAGTGAATCTGCGATTAAAGCAATCTAGTGACTTTTTTACATTTTATTAAATGTTCAGGTCGCTATGAGTTGGGATGAAACTGCTTGATATTGTGATGACAGTGCATTGCCTGATAACGGGCATTAAACAATGTACCTTCGGTTATTCCAGCAAGGTCTAAAAAAATTCAATATTTTCAGGCGAGTTTCACAACTATATCATATCGTGGTGCGGTTCAAATAATTTTTTCAGTGTATAATGATCGTTTCATTCAATGGCGGTTACTGGGCGTGAGTGACATAGCGTACATAGCGCCCAGACATACATAGCATAGGTACATAACTCTGCTCAGGCATCTCACTACTTTTTGAGCGAATTAAAAAAAGTTTAGTCATTAGTTTGAACAACCTCGATGAGAAAACCTGGTCAATGCTTTACGGTTCTTCTTCCTCATAGTTACTTTATCATGTTCGCAGGGCAAAATTTGTTGCTGGCCTCTTTAAATGTTATTCCTGTTTAACTTGATGCAGCTTGAGGCAGTGAGTAGTTTACACGAAGTTATGTACATGTACGTTTGGGTTTGCTTTGACGCAGCTGCTCGGCGAGCTGCCGGCTTTAGTTGATTAGTTCCCAAGTTCTACTGGTGACGACCACACGTGAACGGCAAACGTTGCCCATTGCAATCCTGCAATAGTAGTGGGAAAAGTGAACTTATGAAGTAGTATTAGACTTGAAAATTATAGATTTTAAAAGTTGAACATTACTAGAAATGTATTAGTTTTTCTGTACAGTGGTTCTGCAAGTGGAGTTCATTGAGAAACACGCCAGCGCTACCGGCATTACGGGAACCTAGTGTCGCCATTAGACTCCTGCGTTTGGTATTATTTTTAATCCGAGACGAGACGAGACGAGACAACAGGCTCTGTCCCGGTTCGCAATAAAAACCGAGACAATTTTCAGCCCTCCGTAGGAATTCCGGGACGATACCGAGACGAGACGAGACATCCCGGTTAAAATAGGTACCTTAAAATTTCCCGGAATTTACAGCCATTTTAACGAGACATAACGAGACTAATCAATTATTGATGTGGTGTAAAATTTGGCTTACCGTCATACATTTATACAGAGCTGGGCAGCGCTACTTTGAAATGTAGCGACCGCTACATGCTGTAAATGGAGCGGGCGCTACCGCTACCGCTACAATGGCTTAAATGTAGCGCCACTACCGAAAATGTAGCGGCCGCTACATGTAGCGCGCCACTGCTCACCTCTGCATTTATATAACTTGAGACGTATCCTTTTATAATTCTGATTGGAGCTCGGCAATTGAAATGATTTTTGCTACGAATACATGTTGTGGTTTAATATGGTACTTAATCTTGACAGGCAAATAAGAATGGAAAAACACGTGTTTTTAAATTGTGTTCTATGATGGTTTGGAGAAGGCCATACTAGCTGTAGCTGGTGACATCGGCTGACTGGACAGACTTTGATTTGCCTCCAGCTCAATCACAGAATCAGATTCATCGATCTTGCCTTAGGCAATCTCCTTCAACAAAAAAGTTTAGAAAGAAATATCAACAACATTTTAAAATACAACAAATTTTTAGTTGGAAAAAATGTAATAGTTTGATCTTCAAAAAGAAACTCGAAATATCCATGTGTATCCTTTCTAAATAACGTTAAACAAGCCCAAGTGTTTGATAACAATTCAGGAAACTGCGCAATTGTGAAAATTTCCTGGAGGCGTAGCACAAAATTTTACTAAAGGCAGAGATAATCCAATACTAGCTTTGGTATTATTAGGAATATCTTACCAGGACTCCACTCCACTCTCTACTAATTGGCCAACTAATCTAGACACTGCGTCCCTACTCCCTATGCGCTCCTCGGCGCCTAAACTCATTCCGAACGCGTAATAAACTCGAATCATATCCGTACGGTTCCCATAAGTGCCATCGAAGCCTTAGTTAAGACTTAAGAGTTACATTTTGACTCAATACTCAGTCATGCATACATCGACAGCCGACAGGTTTGCGGTGTTTGTCGGACCACTAATTAACTGCCATGTCAGTTAGTCAGACAAATTTTGCTAAAGACGTGCAACAAGGATAATTCCAGGCTTGAGAGGCAAGTCCTATGAAGAAAGATTGAAGATATGAAGCTTCCAAGCCTCAGTTATCGACGTCTGCGTGGGGACCTCATTGAAGTATACAAGTATACTCATGGTCTATACAAGGTCCCCGAAGGATTACTAGAATTTGAAATAAGAACCAACACCAGGGGCCACGGCTATAAGCTGAAGAAACTGCGCTGCAACTTCTCCATGCGACAAAATTTCTTCTCGCTTCGAATCACCGACATGTGGAACTGCCTCCCCGATGACATCGTTGGCGCTCCAAGTATGAACGCGTTCAAGAACAGACTAGATAAAGCTATGGAAAAATATATGTTCAGATTTGAAATGCCTAGCTCCTTATCGAACCCGGTGGAAGTCTAGTAGCTTCTTCAAACTATCGTCAGTCATGAAAAGATCCGGCAAATGACACGATTTTAGATCTTCTGTGAACAAGGCACGAAAAGGTAAAGAATCGGCGACAGGCCACATCAGGCCTACGCTTCAGCGCCGAGATCACTATGTTATGTTATGTTAAATCTGCGATTAACTCAATTTAACTTGGAACTGTCTATGTCCCTATTAGCAATAAAGGGCTAACTTGTCATTCTTCAACCCATGTTTTCGAAATGATTCGTATCGTAATCGAAAAACTTGTTTTGTCTCTAATAATTAAGACAAATCTCGTCTCGTCTCGTTATGTCTCGTTTCAAATCTGTCTGTCTCGTCCCGGTTCATAATTTACCGGAACA